ATAAAGAATGCTAATTTAGATATAAAATCGATATTTTTTTGAAAATATCCTACTATGATCAAAACCAAAAATGCTTTAAATTGCATTTTAAAACATATCTAGGTATTATAAATGATAAAGATTGCTAATATAGATGTAAATTCGATATTTTTTTGAAAATAGCCTACTTTGATCAAAACTAAAAATGCTTTAAATTGCATTTTAAAACATATCTAGGTATTATAAATGATAAAGAATGCTAATATAGATGTAAATTCGATATTTTTTTGAAAATAGCCTTCTTTGATCAAAACCAAAAATGCTATAAATGATAACAAATTCTAATATAGATGTAAATTCGATATTTTTTTGAAAATAGCCTACTATGATCAAAACCAAAAATGTTTTAAATTGCATTTTAAAGCATATCTAGGTATTATAAATGATAAAGAATGCAAATATAGATGTAAATTCGATATTTTTTTGAAAATAGCCTACTTTGATCAAAACCAAAAATGCTATAAATGATAACAAATTCTAATATAGATGTAAATTCGATATTTTTTTGAAAATAGCCTACTATGATCAAAACCAAAAATGCTTTAAATTGCATTTTAAAACATATCTAGTTATTATAAATGATAAAGAATGCTAATATAGATATAAAATCGATATTTTTTTGAAAATAGCCTACTATGATCGAAAACCAAAAATGCTATAAATGATAGAATAGAATGTAATGTAGGGTTTTGCTAATAGCAAAAGCGGCACTGCGATCGATGATCTGTTGTACCATCCCAAGTCCCCTATGTTAGAATTCCGATGTCCTTAATGAAGCCAATAATGTCCTGATATACTGCTTATTTATATCCTCATCATTCAAGTAGTCCTCATCAAAATGCTTGACACGTTGTACTCGTAATGCTCTGCATTTACAAAGAATATGAGTGATTGTTTCCTCATTTACCTTACAAAACCTGCAAATTTTACTGTTAGACAAATTCAATTTAAAAAGAAAACTATTGATACTCATGTGTCCTGTCAAAGCACCAATTAAGATGCTAAGATCTTTCCTTGGTAGTCTGAGAGCATCAGATATTTTGTTCTTATTTTTAGGACCAAGAAGTCTTTTGGCTGTCATGGCTCCTTCCTCTAAATTCCAGATACGAAAATGCTGTCTCTCCATCCATTCTCGTATGTTTGACTTCAACAATGATAACAAATTCTAATATAGATGTAAATTCGATATTTTTTTGAAAATAGCCTACTATGATCAAAACCAAAAATGTTTTAAATTGCATTTTAAAACATATCTAGGTATTATAAATGATAAAGATTGCTAATATAGATGTAAATTCGATACTTTTTTGAAAATAGCCTACTATGATCGAAACTAAAAATGCTTTAAATTGCATTTTAAAACAAATCTAGGTATTATAAATGATAAAGAATGCTAATAAAGATATAAAATCGATATTTTTTTTAAAAAAAGCCTTATGATCGAAATCAAAAATTCTTTAAATTGCATTTTAAAACATATCAAGGTATTATAAATGATAAACAATGCTAATATAGATGTAAATTCGATCTTTTTTTTTTTTTAAATAGCCTACTATGATCAAAACCAAAAATGTTTTAAATTGCATTTTAAAACATATCTAGATATTATAAATGATAAAGAATGCTAATTTAGATATAAAATCGATATTTTTTTGAAAATATCCTACTATGATCAAAACCAAAAATGCTTTAAATTGCATTTTAAAACATATCTAGGTATTATAAATGATAAAGATTGCTAATATAGATGTAAATTCGATATTTTTTTGAAAAAAGCCTTATGATCGAAATCAAAAATGCTTTAAATTGCATTTTAAAACATATCAAGGTATTATAAATGATAAAGATTGCTAATATAGATGTAAATTCGATATTTTTTTGAAAATAGCCTACTTTTATCAAAACAAAAAATGCTTTAAATTGCATTTTAAAACATATCTAGGTATTATAAATAATAAAGAATGCTAATATAGATGTAAATTCGATATTTTTTTGAAAAAAGCCTACTTTGATCAAAACTAAAAATGCTTTAAATTGCATTTTAAAACATATCTAGGTATTATAAATGATAAAGAATGCTAATATAGATGTAAATTCGATATTTTTTTGAAAATAGCCTACTTTGATCAAAACCAAAAATGCTATAAATGATAACAAATGCTAATATAGATGTAAATTCGATATTTATTTGAAAATAGCCTACTTTGATCAAAACTAAAAATGCTTTAAATTGCATTTTAAAACATATCTAGGTATTATAAATGATAAAGAATGCTAATATAGATGTAAATTCGATATTTTTTTGAAAATAGCCTACTTTGATCAAAACCAAAAATGCTATAAATGATAACAAATGCTAATATAGATGTAAATTCGATATTTATTTGAAAATAGCCTACTTTGATCAAAACTAAAAATGCTTTAAATTGCATTTTAAAACATATGTAGGTATTATAAATGATAAAGAATGCTAATATAGATGTAAATTCGATATTTTTTTGAAAATAGCCTTCTTTGATCAAAACCAAAAATGCTATAAATGATAACAAATTCTAATATAGATGTAAATTCGATATTTTTTTGAAAATAGCCTACTATGATCAAAACCAAAAATGTTTTAAATTGCATTTTAAAGCATATCTAGGTATTATAAATGATAAAGAATGCTAATATAGATGTAAAATCGATATTTTTTTGAAAATATCCTACTATGATCAAAACCAAAAATGCTTTAAATTGCATTTTAAAACATATCAAGGTATTATAAATGATAAAGATTGCTAATATAGATGTAAATTCGATATTTTTTTGAAAATAGCCTACTTTGATCAAAACTAAAAATGCTTTAAATTGCATTTTAAAACATATGTAGGTATTATAAATGATAAAGAATGCTAATATAGATATAAAATCGATATTTTTTTGAAAATATCCTACTATGATCAAAACCAAAAATGCTTTAAATTGCATTTTAAAACATATCAAGGTATTATAAATGATAAAGATTGCTAATATAGATGTAAATTCGATATTTTTTTTGAAAATAGCCTACTTTGATCAAAACCAAAAATGCTTTAAATGATAACAAATGCTAATATAGATGTAAATTCGATATTTTTTTGAAAATAGCCTACTTTGATCAAAACTAAAAATGCTTTAAATTGCATTTTAAAACATATGTAGGTATTATAAATGATAAAGAATGCTAATATAGATGTAAATTCGATATTTTTTTGAAAATAGCCTTCTTTGATCAAAACCAAAAATGCTATAAATGATAACAAATTCTAATATAGATGTAAATTCGATATTTTTTTGAAAATAGCCTACTATGATCAAAACCAAAAATGTTTTAAATTGCATTTTAAAGCATATCTAGGTATTATAAATGATAAAGAATGCTAATATAGATGTAAATTCGATATTTTTTTGAAAATAGCCTACTTTGATCAAAACTAAAAATGCTTTAAATTGCATTTTAAAACATATCTAGGTATTATAAATGATAAAGAATGCTAATATAGATGTAAATTCGATATTTTTTTGAAAATAGCCTACTTTGATCAAAACCAAAAATGCTATAAATGATAACAAATTCTAATATAGATGTAAATTCGATATTTTTTTGAAAATAGCCTACTATGATCAAAACCAAAAATGTTTTAAATTGCATTTTAAAACATATCTAGGTATTATAAATGATAAAGAATGCTAATATAGATATAAAATCGATATTTTTTTGAAAATAGCCTACTATGATCAAAAACCAAAAATGCTATAAATGATAACAAATTCTAATATAGATGTAAATTCGATATTTTTTTGAAAATAGCCTACTTTGATCAAAACTAAAAATGCTTTAAATTGCATTTTAAAACATATCTAGGTATTATAAATGATAAAGAATGCTAATATCGATGTAAATTCGATATTTTTTTGAAAATAGCCTACTATGATCAAAACCAAAACTGCTTTAAATTGCATTTTAAAACATATCAAGGTATTATAAATGATAAAAAATGCTAATTAAGATATAAAATCGATATTTTTTTTTTGAAAATAGCCTGATAAAAATTTTCATTGCTAGATCATGAGAAAGTTAATTAATTGTAATTGCAATAAAAATTTTACATATAAAGAGGGATATTTGATAACGAATAGTTAAGATTTGAAGTCAAGAGGACATTTTATAACAGTTAAAATTTAAATTTGAAAGATGTGTTAAAATAAAGGATCAGCAAGAGCAAGAAGCAATAGTGAAATAATTTTATAAAATTACGAGATTAAGGCCAAGGATAGTGCTAAGAATCAATTAAGAAGTCAGGAAAGAGTAAGCTAAGAGTAAGATACTAAAGATTAGACACATAATTAAAAAATTTATATAAAAATTAGGTTTTGAACATAAAAGTTCCATGCTGTTGAGCATTTAAAGGCATAGAGGCTAAGAAGGAACGATTGTTGAAGACACGAAATAAAGAATAATTTAGGCTTAGTAGCTTGGTGAGTCTTTTTATTCTATTCAATTGATATCTTAGATATTCTTAGATAAGGTTTCCAAAAGTGAAATTTTTTATAATTGCCAACATTCAAAACTCTCCCTACGGATTTGTAACAGTAAATTGGATTGAATTAGGCTTAAAATCCAACTTCCAGTCTATAGATTGTGTGAACATAAAGCCATAACTAGCCACAGGCATTATTGGTGTCATAACCTTAGACATACAAAGATCCAGTCGAGTCTGTTACACACATACATTATCAGAGTGTTACAAAGACAGTAGAAAGTGAAAATAGACATTGTTAAAGACATAATTAAGTGCTAAATTATTATCATAATTGATATAGAAGATATTTAAAATAGTGCCGTTTTAAAGTTAAATATAAAATATTTAAGTATTAAGGACAGTTATTAAGAGATTTTATTCTAAGACTTAGAACGTTATAAAGCTAAGTAAATTGTTATGTCAGTAATTTGTACAAGGTGTGGACGTGTAGGAAGTCAAAGAAATAAATTAATAAACTGCTGCGGTCTTGGATGTCAAACAAAAATCCATGACAATTGTTTGCATGTTGATGAAGGACGAGTTGTTGATGGGCATTTGGTTTGGTGCTGTGGATATCACTTAAGAGAGACAAGTGCAATTCATAGAGAGAATGAGCAAGCAAGATCTTCATCAAGAGTGATAGATGATACTGAAAGTCGAGGTAGAAATCAAAGTCAAGACATCAATCTGATTGATACAGATTTCAACAAGATTTCAATGAGCAGAGAAATGAAGAGTTACTGATTCCGATGGTTAATGAGCAACCGCCTTTAGTGCCAAGCTTAGTAGATTTAGATAATGCTAGTAATTCTCGCAGGGATGCAGATCAAGTTCCTTTTAGAAGTGCAGATACTGCAGAAGGTAACAATGCGGAGGCTGGTAGTCTATTGAGAGATGATGATCCAACAAATACTCCGTTAATATCAAATAACAACGTAAATATCATACCACGAAATGTAGGCCCAAGGAGAAACAACAGGCTTGATGAGAATAGAGGCCTGAGCTTAAGAAATGTTACTCGAAATGTGGACAATAGACCTAATCCAAGACGTCAGGTGAACTCATTTTATGCTTCAAGTCCAGGAAATGGTTTTGAAAGGAATCAATTTATACCACGTCAGTCCAATTATTCTAGAATTTCAAATCATGCACGATTTCAAGAGGAGGATAGCCAGTTCCATCCAGGACAGTCCAATCAATTTCGTGCATCTCAACGATTAAGAGTACAGAATGAAAGAAGGCAGTATTATCCTAGACAGACCAATAATTCTCGTGGATATCAGTCCAGATTTCAGAGTGGAAGGGATCAGTTTAATGCTACCCATTCAAACTATTCTCAAATGTTTAATCAAACAGGAGGTCTAGGTCGCATTACAGGTTGGAATGCACAGCAAGCTGTAGATGAGTCCGTGGTAGAGATGTTGCAAAAATTTTCCCTCAAGGAGTTACCTGAAGTCAATAACAGCCATATAGCTTGGTCAACTTTTTATGAAACTTACGAAAATACTAAGAACCTGTTTATGCCTCACGAAAATGTCACAAGAATACAGAAGGCAATTAAAGATCCTGAAGTCCTGCAAATTGGAGGTCCAAATTTATTCAACATCAGAACGTTTGATATTGCTATCCAAAAGATTAACGGAAGACTTGTAAAGAATGTTAGCTTTATCAATAAGGAAGCAAATGTTTTGCAGTCATTTGCGAGGATGAGACCAGAAAATTATAAGAAGTTGAGTGACTTCATTGATAAAGTTGTAAACTTTAATCATTTAGCAGAAGCTTATCACGAATATTCTTTTACATGTAATAAGATATTCATTAATGGTCTTGCAGAGAAGTTACCAATTTATTTACATAATAAGTGGATAAGTAGACAGTCTCAATTAGAGTCAAATGGCATTGCAATAGATTTGAGGCACTTTGTTGAGGTATTAGAATTAGAGCTTCCGAATATTGAAACTAAGATTCAAAATAGTATGCTTCCTGGATTTGACTTAGATTTCAGACTTAGAAATGAGAGACAAAGAGTTCATAAGTTGGAGGATGAAGCTAGTCGAGACAGAGCTCCAAGATTTGATGGGAAGATATGCTGGTTTCATAAGAGCAATTACCACCCCACACATGAGTGTAGAAATCTGTGGGAAATGAGTGGAGAGTCTGTAAGAGAGTTAGCAAGACTAAGCGACCGATGCAATATTTGTGGGCAATCTATGCACAATCCTTGTCCATACAAGAGCAAGCTAAGATGCTCTATTGAAGGCTGTGCAGAGAATCATCATTCTTTATACTGTATAAAAAGAAAGGCTAAGGTTGCTAAGACTAAGAATCACTTTAATATGGAAGACAGTTCACAAGTAGATATTGTAGATTTACAAGAGGAGGAAGAGCAACTTCTAAATTTAATGAATGGTCAGGGAATAGAGTCTGATAATGTACAAGAGACTCAAGATGATAAAGGTGCAAGTACTTCACAGAATCAGCACTACATTACCACAGATGATGGGGATACAGTATTAAATTATCACGAGGGAGAGAAGTTTTTAACAGCTAGGACCTCACGTGTATTACTTGGTGTAATTGTACTCAGACTGGAAGGCAAGGTTAATGCTGCATTTTTAGTCGACACTGGAAGTACCGCTTCTTTAATTGAAGAGAGCTTAGCTAATTCATTGGGACTTTATGGCCCTAGTTATGCATTGAAGTTACATTGGACAGGAGATCATAAGCGGGAAGAGACAGAGTCCAGAGTGGTTAAGATTAAAGCGTTTAAGACACACGATGAAACTGTTGGTCGACATATTTATTTTCGAACTGTGAAAAACCTGAAGGTAGGAAGTCAAAAACTGGTGGCTAAAGAGATTAAGTCAAAATAACCTTATTTAAATGATTTAGAGCTTACTGATTACGATAGTGTCTCGGGAATCATTGGCATAGATAATATTTGGATGTTTAAAAATAAATTAGTGCTCTCTAAGAACCATCAGAATCATATGCCAATTGGAATTAGATGTGAGTTAGGTGATTACATCATGCAGTCACAATATCCCTTAGATATAACCTATGCAGAATTAGATAAGAGTAATTATGTTGAAGCACCTGAAATAAATTTCAGCCATTTTTGTCAGATGACCGATGAAGAGAGCGAGGAGTTTAAGATTTTAGAGGAAGAAGCTCTTACTTTAGAAAGCTTTTTGCCATATGCTAATAGTCGTGAGAAGCACTATGAAAAGTTGGCAGTTGATATCATGGCTAAGAATACTAAGCGAATAGAAGGTACTACTCAGTTTGAGTCTGCGCTTTTATGGAAGGAAAGTAAGATTGAATTGCCAACTCATGATTCCTTTGTATTGAGTTTGAGAAGGTGGCTAGTGGTAGAGAAGAATGCATTGGCTAAAGGAAAGTTTGAAGAGTGTGAGGCACAGCTTAAAAACCTTTTAGAAAAGAATTACGCTCGTGAACTCACTTATGACGAGATAAATTTAATAAAGCCTAAGACCTTCTATATCCCTATATTTTTTATCAGTCCTGAAGGCAAGAGAACAAGAATGATTTGGGATCTCGCAGCAAAGGTGAATAATAGATGTCTCAATGATGAGCTGTTAGGTGGACCAAATTTGTACAATGACATTCTAAAGATCAATTTTCAAATGTCAGAGCATCCTTATCTATTAAAAGGAGATGTTCAGGAGATGTTTCATCAAGTTAGGTTAAAGGAAGAGGACACTGATTCGCTTAGATTTATTTTTCGGTTTAAGGGAGAGGGAAAGATAAGAGTTTTTAAGATGTTGGTTCTACCTTTTGGCGCAAGATGTTCTCCAGCTATATCAAAATATGTCAAGAATCTTATTGCATATGAAAACTTAGAGTCAAAAGACTTGGCTGCTAAGGTGGTGCTGAACTCCACATATGTGGATGATGTGGTGAAGTCATTCAGGGATAAAGAGGTAGCAAAAGAGACATTTCATGATATTAGACAGATGTTAAAATCTGGAGGTTTTTCTTTATTAAAGATAAACAGCAATGATAAGACTCTGACCAGTGATTTAAGAAAGAGTTTAGCGGCTGAAGGTTTATTAGAAGAGAGGGTAATTACAGCTGAAAAGCAAGAAAAGCTGCTTGGATATAATATCGATTTTGAGCAGGATACAGTTTCACTTGCGTTGAATTTATCAAAATTGCGAGCTGAGGTTAGAGAGGGAAAGGTGGTGCCTACAAAACGAGAGCTTGTGCGAATATTAATGTCAATTTATGATCCAGTTGGATTAGTCCAATTTGTTACGTCTAAGTTGAAGTTATTGTATAGAAAGACTTATTCAGAGGAGCTTGATTGGGATAAGATCTCAGATGCTCACTTAGAAGAATGGAAGACTAATTTGAAATACTTAGAGTCTCTAAACAGCATAAAAATACCTCGATGTTATTGTTATGAAGCTTATGATAAGGCGGAAATTTGGGCTTTTGGAGATGCTGGAAAACAAATGATTTGTTGCACGGTGTATGCTAGATTTCTTAGTAATGAGGACCAACAGCTAAGCATTAGACTTATATATTCTAAGACTTTTACTGTTCCATTTAAAGATAATCATACCATTCCAGAATTAGAATTACATGCTTCATGTGAATTAAGCAAGATGGTTAAATTCGTACTGGAAGCGCATGAGATTAAGTTTCAAAAGATTATGTATTTCACAGATAATGCAGCCGTGTATGAATGGATCAAGAGAGGTGCAAAGAATCCTACAGTGTATATGAAGCACAGAATTGATGATATTAATTTCCTTACTGACAAAAAGGATTGGAACTGGATACCAACAGAATATATGCCAGCTGATCTAGGTACAAAAGAGACGTCTATGACTAAACTGGAATATGAGAACGAATGGTTCTTTCCAAAGTTATTCGGTTTGCCACAAGAACAATGGCCTATGTTTGAGCCAAATTGGGAGCAGATGCATCTAACTATGCAACAGGAAGTTGAAAATAGGTTGGATCCGAAGAGAGTCAATAGCCATTTATCATTAATTTACGCGGGTCAGTTTATATATAAGCTAAAGGAGGCTCTTAAGGTTCGTAGACTTAGAGATGAATTAAAGTTACGAGAGAATTTACTGAAAGAAAAGCCTAATAATAAGGACCTTCAGTTTGAAGTGAAGAGTTTAAGATTAAAGATCGAGGAAGAGGTTAAAAGATACATGTCTTCCAATTTTATGCGTAAAGAGATTGAGGAGTTCTTGATCAGACAGTCTCAGCAAGAGTCATTTGTTAAGGAGTTAAAAGTGCTGCAGAAACACGAGCTTTTACCCGTCAGACATTATTTGCATAGATGGCTGCCTTGGATAGACGAGGCGGGAGTTATAAGAGCTAAGACTCGGCTATCAGATTCTGAGAAAAACAGAAGAATGTTTGGCTATGATCGCATTTACCCAATAGTGCTTGCAAAAGATCATGAGCTTACTAAGCTAATAATACTTAAGATTCACAGAGATAACAAGCACATGCTTGTCAACAACGTAGAAAATCAGCTTAAGAGTAGATTTTTAATTCAACACGTTAGAACCACAATAAAAAAGACAATCAAAGAGAGTTGTACATTTTGCATACGTTATAATACAAGACCTGCATTTCCTTTAATGGGGGATATTCCTTCCGTCAGATTAGGTTACTATGAGCCTGCATTTAAATTTTGTATTGCGGACATCGCTGGTCCAGTTTTGGTTAAGGTAACACGAAACGTGAGAGCCAAGCGATATATCTTTGTATATTCATGCCTTACAACCCGAGGAATTCACTTAGAGCTTATAGAAAAGCTTGATTCTAACTCTACTTTACTCGCATTACAAAATGCCATCAACTCCAAAGGTGCTCCTGAGCGAATCGTTACTGATAATGGCACCAACTTTGTTGGAGCGAATCGAATTATGAAGGAAGAGATAGCAAGGTGGAATCGTGCACTTGAGTCTAAAGGAGCCATTAAAAAGCCTATAGAATGGGATTTTGGTCCAGCAAGAGCCTCACACATGCAGGGAGCAGTTGAGAGTCTGATTAAGCTTGTTAAAACTGCTATGAAGAAGGTGCTTTTAATGCTGAAGACAAAGACTGAGATATTAAATGATTTTGCGTTAAGAGCAATATTATTGGAGGTAGCTGGATTACTTAATAATCGTCCGTTGACATTAGCTCCAATGGAAGATTTAGATAATGAGTTTCTCACACCAAATTCATTCCTTATGCTTAGATCTAATTTCCAGGAAATTCCATATTCTAATGATAAGATGCAGCATATCACGAAAAATTGGGAAGATGTAAAGCAGTTTACTGCTATTCTGTAGAAGCATTGGCTTGCTGCTTATTTGCCTACATTAATGGAAAGAGAAAAGTGGAATGAGAAGGTAGAGCCGTTAAAAGAGGGAGACATTGTGGTGACAGTTGATACTTCAGTGACTGAGTCATGGCGATTAGGAAGGATATTGAAAGTTAAGGCTGGATCGAAAGATCAGGTCAGACAAGTCGAGATCATTTTGGGCAAGAGAAATGTTTACGACAAGAAAAGCATAAGAACCAGAAAAAACCTGCATGATCTATATGTAAATGAAAGGCAGTCGATCGTAACACGTCCAGCTACGGCTGTTGCAAAGATCAATTTTCATAATTAGTATTTATAATTTTAGAGAGTAGCAGCTTAGTTAAACTTAGAAAAAGTAATTAAGATATCTTAGAATTAAGCTTAGTAAATAAGTCAACTTTTGACTCATTCTCAGTAATTTATAATCAGTTTCTTTTTCGTTTCCTTCTAGAGCAATGGCACTTGATCTGATAAAATTTTTATACATAACGAAGAAATTCGACATCTTCTCATTCATCGACAGGCTAATTGACAAGATTGACTTATATGAGGAGGTAGCATATCAAGCTATTCGCAGCATTCAAATCTATACTGATGAAAAGCATCACGACCGTTTCAGTTTAAGAGTTGAAGTACTTGGAAAGTGCTTTTCAAGTCAACTAGAAAAGTTTGCTGAAAGACGTGCAGACAAGCCTTTCCCTAGAATCCGTCTGAAAGATGAGATGATAATATTTATCCCTGCCAAGATCAACAAAGAGCGATTCATGATCTGTGACTTGAAAAGAAGCGATTCAGCTTGGGGAAGTGTATTAAAGGTCAGAGACGAAAGTTTCTCTAGTATGTACAAGTTAATCAAGTTTATTAAGTCCGAATTGAAGGAGTTTGGAATTACTTCAGTCACTAAGCTTAATGAGAGCTACATCATTAGTTTCATGAGTCAAGAAAAAGCAAATGAAGCCAGAAAGAAGTTGAATGCAAGACGCATAATCGTCACAAATTCCGATTTATGCTTAGCAGCAACGGTTGATTCAGAAATAGAGGACTCAACGGTTAAAGTTCAGCGTGCAGCAGAACTTAGAAAAGATTTGAATGCTAAGAGACAAGAAGAGGAAAGTGAAACTAAGAAGCTGAAAAAAGAAGTACAAAGACTTAGATTAGAGCTTGAAGAACTGAAAGAGGAAGTAAAGAAGATGAAATATGTGAATAATAAGAGAAATGAGACGGATTTAAGAGCTGTATCTGCAGGAGAGGAGACAAATGACATACGAGTAACCAAAACATTTTCGACGCCCGTTAACAATTATATGGCATTTATGCCTGTTCAACCAGCAGCAAGTAATGGCTTATGGGGATATATGTTTGCGTCTGAAGGCATGACACCATGCAAGAAGGTCAAATATGATTAAAAAGCTGAAAGATGATAGAATCAAAAATTGAATTAAGGATATAATTTGTAATGTTAAGATATTCCAAAAAGGAATTTAGCAATATTTAGTGAATTAAGCAAAAAAAAGAAAAATGAGAAATTATGTGCAATAGATGAATATTTAAATTGATTAAAATGGAATTAAGAGGCAATAATTAGAATGAAAGAAAAGCTTGCAAGATGATTCAAAGAACCGATTGAGAAATTCATAATTATAAAGCTATTTGTAAAAGATAATAATTCACATAAATATAATGAAAGCTTTTAAGCTAAGGAGCTTTGAGAAATCCAGAGAAAAATATTCTAAGATTAAAAAATCATTTTACAATACAAGAGAAAAAAGTTAATAAGTTGAAAAGTAGACCAAAAGCTATCGAAATTAGAATTAAAGCAGATAATTTTAGCATTTTTATAAAAAGGAATTTCCGCTCCCCCGGAGTGATAAAAATTTTCATTGCTAGATCATGAGAAAGTTAATTAATTGTAATTGCAATAAAAATTTTACATATAAAGAGGGATATTTGATAACGAATAGTTAAGATTTGAAGTCAAGAGGACATTTTATAACAGTTAAAATTTAAATTTGAAAGATAGAGAACATGTGTTAAAATAAAGGATCAGCAAGAGCAAGAAGCAATAGTGAAATAATTTTATAAAATTACGAGATTAAGGCCAAGGATAGTGCTAAGAATCAATTAAGAAGTCAGGAAAGAGAAAGCTAAGAGTAAGATACTAAAGATTAGACACATAATTAAAAAATTTATATAAAAATTAGGTTTTGAACATAAAAGTTCCATGCTGTTGAGCATTTAAAGGCATAGAGGCTAAGAAGGAACGATTGTTGAAGACACGAAATAAAGAATAATTTAGGCTTAGTAGCTTGGTGAGTCTTTTTATTCTATTCAATTGATATCTTAGATATTCTTAGATAAGGTTTCCAAAAGTGAAATTTTTTATAATTGCCAACAAGCCTACTATGATCAAAACCAAAAATGCTTTAAATTGCATTTTAAAACATATCAAGGTATTATAAATGATAAAGAATGCTAATATGGATGTAAATTCCATATTTTTTTTGAAAATAGCCTACTATGATCAAAACCAAAAATGCTTTAAATTGCATTTTAAAACATAACTAGGTATTATAAATGATAAAGAATGCTAATATAGATATAAAATCGATATTTTTTTGAAAATAGCCTACTATGATCAAAACCAAAAATGTTTTAAATTGCATTTTAAAACATATCTAGGTATTATAAATGATAAAGTATGCTAATATAGATATAAAATCGATATTTTTTTTTGAAAATAGCCTACTTTGATCAAAACCAAAAATGCTATAAATGATAACAAATGCTAATATAGATGTAAATTCGATATTTTTTTGAAAATAGCCTAAATAAATGATAAAGAATGCTAATAAAGATATAAAATCGTTTTTTTTTTTTGAAAAAAGCCTACTTTGATCGAAACCAAAAATGCTTTTAATTGCATTTTAAAACATATCAAGGTATTATAAATGATAAACAATGCTAATATAGATGTAAATTCCATATTTTTTTGAATATAGCCTACTATGATCAAAAACAAAAATGCTTTAAATTGCATTTAAAACATATCTAGGTATTATAAATGATAAAGAATGCTAATAAAGATATAAAATCGATATTTTTTTTTGAAAATAGCCTACTATGATCAAAAACCAAAAATGCTTTAAATTGCATTTTAAAACATATCTAGGTATTATAAATGATAAAGAATGCTAATATAGATATAAAATCGATATTTTTTTTTTGAAAAAAGCCTACTATGATCGAAACCAAAAATGCTTTAAATTGCATTTTAAAACATATCTAGGTATTATAAATGATAAAGAATGCTAATATAGATATAAAATCGATATTTTTTTGAAAATAGCCTACTATGATCGAAACCAAAAATGCTTTAAATTGCATTTTAAAACATATCTAGGTATTATAAATGATAAAGAATTGCTGATATAGATGTAAATTCGATATTTTTTTAAAAATATCCTACTATGATCAAAACCAAAAATGTTTTAAATTGCATTTATAAAACATATCTTAGTATCATCAATGATAAAGAATGCTAATATAGATATAAAGGCGATATTTTTTTTAAAAATAGCCTACTTTGATCAAAAACCAAAAATGCTTTAAATTGCATTTTAAAACATATCTAGGTATTAAAAATGATAAAGAATGCTAATATAGATATAAAATCGATATTTTTTTGAAAATAGCCTACTATGATCAAAACCAAAAATGCTTTAACTTGCATTTTAAAACATATCTAGGTATTATAAATGATAAAGAATGCTAATAAAGATATAAAATCGATATTTTTTTTTGAAAATAGCCTACTATGATCAAAAACCAAAAATGCTTTAAATTGCATTTTAAAACATATCTAGGTATTATAAATGATAAAGAATGCTAATAAAGATATAAAATCGATATTTTTTTTTGAAAATAGCCTACTATGATCAAAAACCAAAAATGCTTTAAATTGCATTTTAAAACATATCTAGGTATTATAAATGATAAAGAATGCTAATATAGATATAAAATCGATATTTTTTTTTTGAAAAAAGCCTACTATGATCGAAACCAAAAATGCTTTAAATTGCATTTTAAAACATATCTAGGTATTATAAATGATAAAGAATGCTAATATAGATATAAAATCGATATTTTTTTGAAAATAGCCTACTATGATCGAAACCAAAAATGCTTTAAATTGCATTTTAAAACATATCTAGGTATTATAAATGATAAGGAATGCTAATAAAGATATAAAATCGATATTTTTTTGAAAATAGCCTCTTATGATCAAAAACCAAAAATGCTTTATATTGCATTTATAAAACATATCTTAGTGTCATAAATGATAAAGAATGCTAATATAGATATAAAATCGATATTTTTTTGAAAATAGCCTACTATGATCGGTACCAAAAATGCTTTAAATTGCATTTTAAAACATATCTAGGTATTATAAATGATAAAGATTGCTAATATAGATGTAAATTCGATATTTTTTTGAAAATAGCCTACTTTGATCAAAACTAAAAATGCTTTAAATTGCATTTTAAAACATATCTAGGTATTATAAATGATAAAGAATGCTAATTTAGATGTAAATTCGATATTTTTTTGAAAATAGCCTACTTTGATCAAAACCAAAAATGCTACAAATGATAACAAATGCTAATATAGATATAAAATCGATATTTTTTTGAAAATAGCCTACTTTGATCAAAACTAAAAATGCTTTAAATTGCATTTTAAAACATATCTAGGTATTATAAATGATAAAGAATGCTAATATCGATGTAAATTCGATATTTTTTTGAAAATAGCCTACTATGATCAAAACCAAAACTGCTTTAAATTGCATTTTAAAACATATCAAGGTATTATAAATGATAAAAAATGCTAATTAAGATATAAAATCGATATTTTTTTTTTGAAAATAGCCTACTATGATCAAAACCAAAAATGCTTTAAATTGCATTTTAAAACATATCAAGGTATTATAAATGATAAAGAATGCTAATATAGATGTAAATTCGATATTTTTTTTGAAAATAGCCTGCTATGGTCAAAACCAAAAATGCTTTAAATTGCATTTTAAAACATAACTAGGTATTATAAATGATAAAGAATGCTAATATAGATATAAAATCGATATTTTTTTGAAAATAGCCTACTATGATCAAAACCAAAAATGTTTTAAATTGCATTTTAAAACATATCTAGGTATTATAAATGATAAAGTATGCTAATATAGATATAAAATCGATATTTTTTTTTGAAAATAGCCTACTTTGATCAAAACCGAAAATGCTATAAATGATAACAAATGCTAATATAGATGTAAATTCGATATTTTTTTGAAAATAGCCTACTATGATCAAAACCAAAAATGTTTTAAATTGCATTTTAAAACATATCTAGGTATTATAAATGATAAAGTATGCTAATATAGATATAAAATCGATATTTTTTTGAAAATAGCCTACTATGATCAAAACCAAAAATGTTTTAAATTGCATTTTAAAACATATCTAGGTATTATAAATGATAAAGTATGCTAATATAGATATAAAATCGATATTTTTTTTGAAAATAGCCTACTTTGATCAAAACCAAAAATGCTATAAATGATAACAAATGCTAATATAGATGTAAATTCGATATTTTTTTGAAAATAGCCTACTATGATCAAAACCAAAAATGTTTTAAATTGCATTTTAAAACATATCTAGGTATTATAAATGATAAAGTATGCTAATATAGATATAAAATCGATATTTTTTTGAAAATAGCCTACTATGATCAAAACCAAAAATGTTTTAAATTGCATTTTAAAACATATCTAGGTATTATAAATGATAAAGAATGCTAATATAGATATAAAATCGATATTTTTTTGAAAATAGCCTACTATGATCAAAACCAAAAATGTTTTAAATTGCATTTTAAAACATATCTAGGTATTATAAATGATAAAGTATGCTAATATAGATATAAAATCGATATTTTTTTTTGAAAATAGCCTACTTTGATCAAAACCGAAAATGCTATAAATGATAACAAATGCTAATATAGATGTAAATTCGATATTTTTTTGAAAATAGCCTACTATGATCAAAAACCAAAAGTGCTTTAAATTGCATTTTTAAACATATGCAGGTATTATAAATAATAAAGAATGCTAATATAGATGTAAATTCGATATTTTTTTGAAAATAGCCTACTATGATCAAAACCAAAAATGTTTTAAATTGCATTTTAAAACATATCTAGGTATTATAAATGATAAAGTATGCTAATATAGATATAAAATCGATATTTTTTTTGAAAATAGCCTACTTTGATCAAAACCAAAAATGCTATAAATGATAACAAATGCTAATATAGATGTAAATTCGATATTTTTTTGAAAATAGCC